GGCTGAGCTGTGGCGTTGTGGCGGCGTGGCGGTGGCGTGTGGCGGTGGCTCGTGGGCACGTGATGGCGTCACGTGGTGGCTGGTACATGGGGCTGAAATCTCTTGGCGCGCCACTTCCGTAATAGGAAGGTCGTACCCACTTTCCGAAATAGGAAGTTTTCCGTAATAGGAAATATTTCCGTTTTAGGTAAGTGTCCCGATTTGGAAGTTGTCTAGACTAATCCGGTACACACCCCGGCTATGCACGGATGAGCTCGTGCATATGCGCATGCAGGCATGCATGCCCGTTGCCCTAGTAGGGATAATCCTAGTACGCGCATATGCGGAACGATGACTACCTATTCTGGCAAGCCTTCCAGTTCCGGCTTACTTGCAGGATGCATGCATGACGGCATGCACACCGATAAATCGGTGTGCCACACCTCGCTTGGAATACGAGGTCGCCGACGCACAACTAATTGCCTCACACCCTCCTACGAGCGGCGACGCAATTTTTCGCATCACACCACTAGCGATTTGACGACTTTATTGCGTCTCTCGCGACGGGCGCTCAGGGTCAAACCCACGCCCCCGTCTTCCACACCCGATGGACTTTCATCCACCATCATCTTCGGGGAAAGGTATAAGTATCACCCTTCTCCCCCCGTCCTGACAAGTTGATCATAGGTCAACGAAACAAACGATCAATCTCTTTTGATTATTGTCGACACTTTGTTTCTCGATTACAACAACTCTCACGTCCTCTTCCCATCAGCACAGCTGTCCACCCGGCTAGAGAATCGCCTCGCTCGCTTCGCTCGCTCGGCTCATCAGAATTTTCCCTTATAAATTTTTTTTTTTCACCATAAAAAGTATGAGGTGTACTCAACAGCCCAAGCCACACTTAGGAGACAGTAGCACCACTTTCAATCTACAACAACTTTTTCATTTCTTAATCAATTAAATTGAGGTTTATTTTTTTGAAATCTACGTATTCAAGAGATCTTAAATTTCAATTACCTTTTTTTTAAATCTTGTTGAATTTTTCTTCTTTCACAGAGGTGTGGTTTTTTCTGAGAGTTTTGTGTTACCATGGAGGATTTCTGACCCTGAGTTTGGCTATAGACTGGGACCACATTCTGAAGCATTGCCAACAATGCTTCAGAAATGAGTGCAGAATGCACAGGGCACAGAAAATATCTGCAGGATTCTACCCGCAAAAGGATTGTAATGTGTTTGCACGGTGCTAATCACGTTATCGGTACTAAGTACGATAGTTGGCAGGTGGCCTGCTCATCCAGAGAGGAGGCAAGAGCTGAGAACTAAAGGAGGCTTCAAGGGTGTACTGGGAAATAAAGAAGTAACCGTTCAACCAAGTATATTGAAATACTGTCTGTCGAAGTCTGCCTTTTCTGTCATAGAAACAGGCAGTCTTTAAATACACAAATCTGTTCATGTCTAGCATGAACGAAAATAATCAAAGGTATCAATCGATACACTTTGGTAAAACTCCTTAAGTATTAAAGCGATACTTAAAATAAAACCAAGTATCAAACGATACTTAAAATAAAACATAAAACAAAACCAATAACCGAGTACCCGTACCGGTTACAAGGATGGAAGCAGGAAAGAGTTGGAAGGAGAGAATGCCAGAAAGGCATGGGCCACAAGGACGCGGTCGAGGGAGGAAGGGGCCCAAAACTTCTCAGCAGATACGGAACCGGACGTCAGGAGCCTACACAGGCAGATCTGGGGACTCCGAGAACAACTTAGTCAAGCCAAGGCCACAATTTTGGCAAACGATAAAACAATCATGGAGCTAAGACAGCTGAACGATAATCAGCGGCACACAATCGAGATGACGAATCTGACCCTAGAATCAGTAAGGGTCAGGTGGAGGACGGCAGATGAATAGTTCCACAAGCTGAGAAGGACCATGCGCTCAGCAGGACGGGAACTATTGAAACTGGGAGAAAAAGCCTGATGGGACTCAGGCTTAGGAGGAGGGGAGCTAATGTCACGAACGTGGCTTAGTATAAAAAAGGTTTTCACATGACACATAGTTATGAGTCACAGGTATGTTATTGTTTCACACATATGACCCATTCAGGTTATATGATTTGTTATATGTGGGATTTGTGATGCTTTCACACATGGCTTAAGTATAAGTCATGGGACGAGCGCTTGACGAGTATGCCTTGCAAGGGTGCCTTGCGAGTAAGCCTTGCGCATATGATTTATGTTTCGCACATGACCTCATTATGATGTCATGGGTTTCGTGCATATGACTCAGTCGTGTCATATGACCTGTTTATTGTGTTATGATTGGTTTATGAGTTTTGTACATGACCTTGCTATGAGGTCATGGGTTTTGAGCATATGATCACTTTGGTTACATGACTAGTTTGTTATAATTTGGTTTTGCACATGTGACCACTTTAGGTCACATGACTAACGGCGGGAATAATACTATATAAGGAGGTCGATGCAGCCGAGGAAGATAGGTTATTCACGCTTTGTTCTAAGTACTTTTCCTACTTGTTACTCTAACGAATACAAAACATCTTTATAATCTTTATCTTTATTGCAACGTTATTGTTACGCCGAGAAAAGTCCTTAACGAAGAACGAGTTAGAGAAAGCTTACGATAGGCATTCCCTATAGAAGACAAAGGTCTTGTACTATCGGTAACGTAGGCAGCGGCCTAGAACTATCATAAGACAAAGAAAGAAGAAGATAGAAAGAGAAGTATCGTTCCCCGTCGCCAAGAACTAACTATCCAGAGAGGGATTGTTACAATCATCTACCCTCATCTTCGCGGAAAGGTATAAGTATCACCCTTCTCCCCCTGTCCTCACAAGTTGATCATAGGTCAATGAAACAAACAATCAATCTACTTTGATTATTGTCGACACTTTGTTTCTCACGATTCCGCATCAACTCTCACGTCCCCTTCCCATCAGCACAGCTGTCCGCCCGGCAAGAGAACCCCTCGCTCGCTCTGCTAACCCCAACCCTAAGACGAGGGGTAGCAAAGTTACTATTGGAACGAAAAGATACCAATCTCCACCCTGCTGACGCTTCATACTGTCACTCACCGCTCTGGCATGCGACAGATCGTGGGCATGAGGGAGTAATCAAACTGCTATTGGAGCGAGACTTTCCAAACACTGCCCACACCCAATACGGTCGTCCACTACTCTTGTGGGCTGCGCAGGGCGGGTATGAGGGAATTGTAAAGTTGCTATTGGAACGAGGTAACACAGACCCCAATACCGCTGCCACCAAATATGGCCCGACACCACTCTTGTGGGCTGTGGGGGGTAGGCATGAGGGGGTTGTAAAGCTGCTATTGGAGCAAGACGATACCAATCCCAACACACCAGACACCAAATATTGTCTAACACCACTCTTGTGGGCCGTGAATGGCGGGCACGAAGGGATAGTAAAGTTACTATTGGGGCGAGGCGATATCAATCCCAATACACCAGACGCCAAACACTGTCAAACACCACTCTTGTGGGCTACACGGTGTGGGCGCGAGGAGGTAGTAAGGTTACTATTGCAACGAGAGGCTACCGATCTTAACACTACCGACACCAAATATGGTCAAACACCACTCCTGTTCGCTGCGAGGGATGGGTGTGAGAGGATAGTAAGGTTGCTGTTGGAACGAGAAGATTGCGATCCCAACGCTGCTGACATCGAATGCGGCCAAATACCGCTCTCGTGGGCTGCGGAGGCCGGGCATGATGGGGTCATAAAATTGCAGATGATATCGATCCCAACACTGCCGATACCAGATATGGCCGAACACCACTCTTGTGGGCCGCAAGGGGTGGGCATGAAGGGGTAGTAAAGCTGCTATCGGAACGAGACGATATCGATCCCAACACTGCCGACACCCAATATGGCCAAACACCCCTCTCTTGGGCTGTAGAGGGCGGGCATGAGCAGGTAGTAAAGTAGCTATTGGAACGAGACGATACCAATCCCGACGTCCGCGACCTCAGCGGCAAAACACCCCTTGAATTATCTTCCTCCCTTGGATATACAAGTATTGTGGAGTTACTCTCCAAAAGAGTCCCAGAGCGCCCTTCACCTCAGCCATCTGACCTTTCCCAATGCCCCTCTCAACCCACACCATCCACCTACCTTTCAGTGTCGGAGCCCCCCCTCCCAATTCTGGACTCCCCCGCTGAATACCGATCCGTTCCTTCACCATTACTTCCTCTTTCATTTTCCCTTTCTCTCACCTCGTTGTCACCGGCCCCTCCCTACCAACGAGTTATCATTATCTTTTATACGTATATATTATCTTAAAAATCCGTTGTATGATTTCAGGTACACGACAAGCGCCCACTGCGGTAAAACCTACGCATGCGGGGAAGATCCCATGGCAATCGCTATCTCTTTAAAAATAGATAGTTACTATATTATACACGCGGAGTCGGTGTGAACGGCGCTTTCACGAACCCATGTTAGATACGAAATCGTGAGTTCATGCACTGGCTTGGATTGAACTTAATTCTGGGAGTGGTAGGGTGGCCTATTATATGGCGCACGGTCTGAGCTGTCTGCTTTGTTTTTGTGCCCAATTCTTTCTTTTCTCACATGTGCAATACCATTTTTTAATCCTTTTATTGGACGACCCATAATATTTGTTTTTATTTTCCGAGTTATCTTTTGGAAACCTATATCATAGGAACGTACGATACCAAAGATGATGCTCTTTCGATAATATGATTTACAGAACGCCTAGATAGAAGTCCAGCCATCTCCGCTACTCTGTAACGTTTATGAACGAGAGATGGGTATGTTGGTGCCTATATGTAGTCGTCTGTACCCGTGGTGCTCGACAAGACACTCACCCTGATAACGCACATACGCTGAGGAGGCCCTCTACCAGACCCCCGGTTCTTCAGCTAAACGCCTGGGGTAACACCTTCGTCAGGAGCCGAGAACAATGCAGCGAACACGGGAGCGTTGACCAACATGCCTCCGAACATCACGTTGTCCTTACACAGCTAGCATGGCCGGCGATCATATTTGTACTCTCCTAGAGCAAAAACCATACATATGAATCTATCACTCGATGGACCTAGTATATATTTAATTCGAAGGAGGACAGTGTGATCCCGCGAGTGATGATTTATGATCGCTCCATCCACTTGGATGCGCAAAATACCAACAATCCCTCAATCTGACGAAGGCACAAATGAGCTACGATACCCCAACTACCAATAGGCACCCCCGAAAATGCTAGCCCAACATAAAACAGGTATCTCCACAGTTCCAATCCCCACTCCACAAAATTGCGAATATCCAGCTCTGGCAATTGATACGTAATGCAAAGCAAGTTCTGGTTCAAAAAAATCAAGAAGTGGGAAGAAAAAATAAAACCCCAAGCACGGGACTGCATAGTTATGTAAAGAAAGAAAAGGGGAAGAGGTGGAAAGGCAAGAAAGAAGAGTGTTTTAAACTTGGAAACTCTGATTCAGGAATGTTAGACCCAAGCATGACTACCCCCAGAACACGAAAAGAAATAACGTAAAACAGAAAACCCCCCACCACCGAGAACCAATCCCAGCACACCCCTCACTGCATGACTCCCGAGTTATTACACAACAACCCAATCAGAAAGAGTTCGGAACATATATCAAAAAGGCATTACCGGGAAAGGAAACAGGGGAAGACGAAAAGAAGGGTTGAAGCCAAACAATTGAAACCCAGAGGAAGCGATAGACTCCAAAGACGCAGTGACGATCATTTCCCCTGCCATGGATCTGCGAACTTGATGTCGCCACCATGAAATGTTTGATCCATCGGGGAACAGGCAACAGGAATCTCCACATTGTCCACCATTTTAGTTTCCTTTTCGGCATGACTGCCGGCAGCCGTAGTGCCCGTGAGGTTCCTCTCGAATGCCTCCTTCATTCGTCCAACACCGCCCTCTTTACGTTTGAGTGCGTGATTAGTGGCGAGCCTTCGTTTTTCTGTTTCCAGTGCCCGCTCCGTCCGCTCCTTTTCTTGCTCCAAGATTCTAAGTTGCTCAGCCCTATCCTTATCCCGATTCTTGTAGGTGAGCTTGACTTTGAACATTCCCTTGGTGAGAGAGTCAACGTCATCGTCACAACCAGTCTTCATGGGCTCTTGGGAACCTGTAGGCGAAGAAGAGGCGACACTACTCGCACTGCTTATGGTAGAGCTCGTCTTTTGGACCGCGGTGACTGGGTGTTGATCCACCACCCTCTTGGAAACGTCGGTCCCAATGACCGAGGGCTTCTTGACAACTGCCTTTCGAGGCCCCGCAACCGTAACTCCGCCGCCCGATGTCGACCCAATTTGTCTGCCGCCAGGGGCAGGCGTTGTACCTCTACTGGGGGGGATGGGCGTCACTCCTCTACTTGGAGCGCCTACTCTCTGCGCTCTTGAGGGAGGTCTTGAAGGTGCCTTTGAAGGTGCCCTAGAGGGGGCTCTCGAAACAGCTCTCGATGGTGCCCGACTAGAGGCAGCGCTATCCGGAAGAATGCCAGTGGTTGTCATCCTACGACGGCCTCTGTCAATATCGGGGCTGGGATCCGGAGCTGGCTTCGGTTTCCGGTCCCTTAGCGTCATCCTCGTACCGTCGGGATCCACGACACCGATTACTGAATGCCTCGCCGATCTTTTAGTAGGTTTTTCGATGGGTGGTATCTCCACCGATTCCCGAAATTCCGGAACAATCATGCGACTCAAATCAAAAGCAGCAACCTCCCAGGGAATAACCGGGGGTGGTGGTGGTGGTCCGTTATTGTTATTGCCATCAAGATAGCCATTACTCATGACACGACGGGGAACATCATTCTTTTTGGCAACAGATGCGGCGGTTGGTGAGAGATAGGAGGTAGAGGCTCTCTCGACATTGGGCTTCTTGGCTGTCATTTTGGCAAAATGGCCCTCCAGCTCCAGTACCCTTTCCATTCCCCACCACTCCGCATCCCAACCTCGATCTAGTCCGGAGTTTTCCAGGGGTTTGTGCAACGGGGTCAGTCCAAGAGATGGCGATACGTACGTGCTGGCGGCTTCCGGGGGAGCGCAGGCTAGGCCCGCCATGTGGGCAAATACACCGGTAGTTAGCGCTCTATCAGAGTAACCACCCTCAAGAACACTCAAAACTCTCCCGTGACAGTACTCCTCTGCCAATGCCACGGCGTCTGATGTGAACCGAGCAAAGAAGCTCGTTGGCACATTCACTGCGTGACGCTGCATGCCAGCCCCCTCGTGTTCACTCGCATCAAAGCCAGCGGACAAGAATACTCCAGCTTTGAACTCTCTGCTCTTTTTCGGTTTTGAAACTGCCGCGACGGAAAGAAACTCACGAGCTTTTGTGAGAAGGCTAGAGTACTTATCATTATATAAAGTCCAGAATTCCCCTTCAGTCGAGTATGGGGCCAAGTGGACGTTCTGCATACATTGCCCGTGCGCATGCAAATTTAGACTAGCGTTTTTGATCTTATCGATATCACCGTATTCGCATGGATAGGAGTTGATATCGTGAAGCGAAAAGTAGCCGATGTTCGGGACTTGTATACCAGAAGTTCTTTTAGATGTATTATGTGTTGATTCTGCCAATTCATTCAAAGTCCATGCAATGGCCTGGGAGCCATCTCCATGGTGGAGATCAAAATCTAATATGACGGCATGCGATAGCCCGTGAGCTCGTGCAGCATGAGCAATCGCAATATGGACATTATTCAACCAGCAGAATCCCGAAGGCTGTGTCTCAGCGCAGTGGTGACCTATACTCTGGCAGTTAGTGTGGGCCTGGCTCTGGCTGGAAATCAGCTTACCCGGTGGCCGAATACAGACGAAAGCTCTTCGAACACCCCTCCGCTTTTGGTCGTCTTCACTAATCGTACCATTCCGCTCGTCCCCCCCAAACACCAAGTCAACACCATCGTAGAGGGCGCCCAGACACCCCTCCAAATCCTCTTTACTCTCCTCGCAGAGGTAAAGATCACCTTGATGATAGCCCTTGGGAACTTCGCATTCACCCTTTTTAAGCTTCTCAGCAGCAGCCCCACACATAGCAGCAAGGTCTTCGGGCCATGACGATTTGGCACCCCTGACAGGAGCGGCATGGCAGTGGACTAACATAACCTCCAGATCTAACAAACTGCCCATCCGCTCGGATTTACGAATCGATAACCTGCTCCTCCCAACACGGGTCTGGGCAGCAGCAACACCCAAGGTTGCTGCTGGTATGCGCTCCGGTCTTTCAACGATAGTGGCGAGATCCTGAAGTGAGGTGTTAGGCCTAGAGTATCTATGTCGGTAGCTAGTATCATGGAAGATGACAGCAGTAGGAGCCGACATATCTTGTGGAGGAAGGACCCGCTTCATCGGTTCGTTCTCCAAGATTGGTTCGGGTGCGGAGGGAGATCTCATAGAAAGCAGGCTGGACTTTCTCGCAAGTGGACTAGGTCTCCCTGGAAGCGGGGAGGAAGCGCCGGACATAGAAGAGATGGAAGGTCGTTTCTTGAGCGTAGGAGTGGACGGAGAGCGAGTAATGATGCGTCGCGGGGAATCAGATCCTTGAGACGAAGGGGTTGGTGAAGGGCCGTAGCGGAGATCTATGCTAGCCCGACGAGAGAGCGGAGATGGTGAATGTGTTCCCCCAATCACAGATGACGAGGATAGGGACGTGGATAAGGATAGAGAGTTCAAGGATTCCGTAAGCTTCCTAGAATGATCCAGTTGTTGTTTTTGCTGCTGCTGCTGTTGTTGTTGCCGCAGTAACTGCTGATGCTGAGGAGATAGTTGGGGACAGGAGAGAGCATCTCTAGCCTGAGGACTGCCTCTGCTGCCACCGTCTACCGGCACATGGCCTCCTGGTGAACGGGAATAAGGGTTGTGCGTGGCCATTGTTACCCTAAGCTATCAACGCCGAACCGTCGACACAGCAATGCTGCGATGACCCAACAACCAACCCTTTGTTGTAAGCGGATGGCTACCTCTCCTCCACTCTAAGCTGATGATCAAGATGGTGACGATGCTGACGGTGAGTGATGTGATGCTAGTCAGGGAAAGAGGAACGAAACAGAAAGTTTTTCGTGCCGACTGGTTGGGTATACGGATATCTGGGATGGGTACAGTACTGTACAAAGCTATCCCCCTGAATTAATAATAATAATGATAATACCTTCTCCAGAAAGATGGCGTAAAAATGTGATATGGTGGGAGAAAGTAAAGCAGAGCTTCAAGAAAAAAAAGGTATCAAAAATGAAGACAAAAAGAAGAATAAAAAGTTGGGATGAGATGATGAGATGCTGCAGCCTGGCGCAAGATGTTATGGGGAATGAGCGATGCGCGTCTGGCTTCCAGAGCCCGAGAAAATGTTATCATAAATTAACAAGAATCTTGCCGGCGCGCTCTAGGTAACGTGCCATGGCGAACGCGCTAATATCGGTGGCTCACACTCCAACCCACCCAACACTAAGCCGTTTTGGGATAAACCCTGCTGTACTCCTTCTGCTAACGAACTATGGTAATGATACAACTAAGAGCTACTCGTATGATATCACCAATGGAAATGTCGCCTCCCTCTCATTACATCATCCGCCTTAGAATCTTGGAATCCCTACAGACATTCTGCGATACTCCCACGAAGACCCCTATTGATCCTCCACGAACCATGATCTGGCACCCTTTCAAGAGTTATCACCTCAATCCGATCTCTTCGCCCGCAAGCACGGTTACTGTAGGAAGTGACACCAACTGGAACAAGTACCCTCGCTCACCGTATGACCCCACCCGAGTACTGTACAATACTCGTGCCCGAGAGGCTGTACCGGTATCCATCGTTCGAGCCACTCCCAGTATCGCGATAATCGCCCACAGGTTATTAAAAAAAACCCATAATCCCATTCTCATTCAACGCTAGCATCGATACCATTCACCTGAACAACAAAGGGTACCAACACGAGTACGAAAATAAGAAACCCATTTCGAGCGCAAATACCTTTGTCATACACACACAAAAAGAAAACCCAAATATGGAAACTAGGAAATAGGAGTCAATGGAGAAAATAGGGGGAAGGAAAATTTCGTCATGGTCCTACCCGAAGCGGAAACCATCTTTCATGAAACTCAATCATCATTTGCCCTCTCTCGTGATCGTTGGTAACGCCAGGTAGCTCGAGCTTTGCCTCAGTTACTCTCGTGCAACAGTGGAGCTCTTTCCCTGTCTCCACCTCGAGCCTCCACCCCGGTTTCCCTTCCATAAATACCAGGTATTGCGACAGCCAAACTGAAGAGGAATACGATTGCCATTATCGTAAAGGCAAAGATCCATTGGAGAGCGATAATCTTGGCGAAGAATTGGCCAACGCCCAAGCCAGCAGTGAGGAAGGTAGTAGCGAAGCCAACGTGGTAATCCTTAAATACCAAGAGGAAGAAGCCAGCAAAGACTGCAATACCCCAAATGGCGATGTTGGCAATGACATGACATGGGAGACTATGGCATCCAACCATGACAGACCCGTTCCAAAAAACAAGGAAGAATGACCACGTCAAAGGCATGGCGGCAGCCGGAACGTGAACGAGTCTGTGGATGTGAATGTCAAATTAAGTAAACGATGAAGAGACCTGGGTCATAACATGCCTTGGTGTGGTAGGGTTGCGAAGGTATAACAAGACCAGCTGCAAAAAGTTTAAAGCGGCGAACAACTCACTCCAGAAGAATAGAGAGCGAGTCCAGAGCATAATCCAACCAAATTGCAAAAGGTTAAAACTTTCTCCATGTCAGCAACCCAAACAACCGATAGTAGGAAGATAGGCCTACAGAATGAAATGGCTTCCAACAGAAGCAGCAGCTGTTACAGCGGCCTCATCCCTCCCTAATTTGAATCACGGTCAGCACCAATCGGCTGTGAAAGGCTCCAGATGAAGGGGGGAACCTACTAAACAATTGTGCAACGAAGCTGATCTGGCTGCAGAACAGGAAGACCCAGTAAATGGCAACGAATGCATGGCTGAGTGTGAAAGGTGTGATATGTGCTTTGCTTATACCCTAAAAGGCATTGGATTTTTCACCGACTGGATATAACTCCAAAAAGCGGGAAAGGGATACAAATACTTACGAAGATGGTCCCAGTGGCCCAATGACCATCGTGCGGAGGAGAGATGCTATAAACGATAGCTACCACAAAGAAGAGGAGCCACGAGATGATAGTGAAGGCACGGTAGGCAGGAATGTTCCGGCTAGTGCCCTCGATGTCACGAGAGAACGGGTTGGCTATAATTTAAAATTCAATCAGCGACATCTTCCTCGAAAGACCGGTCCTCCCTCAAATGCGGATTCAGTGACATACAGAAAGCCATTTCGTCTAACTTAGCTCAAGATAGCTCGATGTGTGCAGGTTCCTAGCAGTTGTTATGGGTCAGTTTTACAAGGAATTCTCAAAGATTCGTTTGAACCACAGGCCTTCCAAGAGAACTGATAGCGCTACCTATTGAATGAGAGATAAAGGACGACGACGAAGGGAAAGGTATAATTGAAAAAGGAGGGGAAAAAGGTAGATATTGGGAACTTGCCGAAATTATACCCTCTCCAACCAGGCAGCGCGAAGGGTTCATTGGTCACGGGCCAATGACGTCGACGCTGGGTGGCGCTATGGTGAAAAGAGTAACCCCGCATTCTCTGATTGGCCGCAAGCAACCAGCCACTGGCAGACAAGGAACAATCACTTAGACGATTGACCAATCGGAATAGTTAATTGGATGGGAAGATTGGAGTTTTGGGCTAAAGAGGTTAAAACCGGTGTGAGGACTCGCAACTTTCAAGCTCCCAAGAGCTCTCTCCACTTGTATGCGAGCGACCCACCATGGCTCGATTGTGTGCTATTTCCGACTAGAATCCCGCAGTAACTTGACTTGATTCTGGGGCACAGGTGAGTCCTGCCAGGCAAACCCTCTACGCACGGTCAGAGATCATACATTATCCACACTCGAGCGGTTTACGTTACCCTGTCACAAGAGGACACCAATTCACTACTCGTACCGGCTCTCTCATGCCCGAGCCTCATCGCTTGCCAATTTAAATAAACTGTAACCGCAGTCTACGAGTACCAGAGGTCCATTATGGTACAAAACCTATCATGGGCTCTCGGCGGTACCAAAACTCTAGCCCACCCATGATTGCACCACTCGACCACTAAGGTAGACTAAAGGGTTGTCAGGTTGGTGGGGCTTGACCCAGAGAAGGCTCATTGTGCATTCAAATTTCAAACATCTGTATCGCACTGCAGCTACATCACTCGAGCTCTATACGAGTAGGTCGCAACACGAAGCTCTTCAGGAGGTAGGAAACTAGCAAGGCGGTTGAAGGCAACGATACCGTACGAGTAAATTACGAGCACTTGCACTTGTATTACATCAGTACGTGTAAATTTAGGGCGTATGCTCTTGTCGTAGTGATGACGTTCTGGCAATTCATCTGCCACAACGGGGATGTCAAGCTTAGCGGAATGGTTGCAGTTTCCAAGTCAGGTCAGGGCAATGTTGAACTATTCCCAGTTCAGTATCCCGCAAAAGCAATTCGCGTTTGACACAAGTTAGCTATCTTATCTGATCCGTTAGTAAGCGTTCGACCACCCATCACAAGTCTACGAGTATGCTACCTCAGTCTATGAGTAGACCAGTCTACTCCAGGATGGTCTGCTGTCTCCAATGGGGACGATGAAAACCCGCGGACAACACAGGGATCAGGAACGGCGATTCTTGTCTTCTTTGTTCCTGGTACTGTACCTGTACTAGAGTGCCCTACTTGACGAACTCACTTTTCGCCCAGCAAATATGGTACTGTACCCCAGGCTCATCACCACCGGTTTTCGTCGTATCATACCCCACCATTGACGAGCGTGTCCTCTAATACAGCAGACTACCACTCTACGCACACAGTTCTGGAGCAGAGTCGAGGGGCAGCCGTCACTTTTGGTTTGCCTCCGGGTGAATTACAAACTATATATCGAGTACTCGAGCACAAGTAAATTAGTTGGCATTCAATAATTCTGGATTTGGGTCATTGCAACTTGCCAATGGTTTCACCGAATTTCCTTTATGGCATTTAATCAAATTGTGCTTGGTGAAGCAAAAGGGTTACTTGGAAATTCGGCGCACTCAGACATATGAGTAGAAGGAAGAGTAAAGAATAAGGGGGTGTTTGGCGCGTGTGAAACAACCCTAAGATGTCGTCTGTACCTTTCTTTATCTGTCATACTAAACCTTTCACAGGGTAGTGTTTGGCAACGGTGGGTCGAGTTTGGGCTATCGATACGGTATCATAGTGATTATACTGGAATGCTTACCTTGAGCCCAGACACAAAGTTTGCCTCTTATAGGTAACCCCGGGAGCCTAAAAAGTCCCTCTCGGAATACATACAAAAAAATTAGTTCTTTGGCATAATCCAGATGTATGTATATTCCCCTGCTCGAAAACTCCATCCTTGCCATCCCCAGCCGATACCCAATAAAAGATTAGACTCCCTAGAGCTGAAGGGGAGTTGGATCTGAGTAGCCATATGAAGTCCACTTCTCAAAAAAGAAGAGAAAAGAAAAGAAACCTTGCCGTTGCTGCAGAACGCTGGTGATTGACTTTCATGGTGGGGGGGGAAGCAGAGGAAGTATCATACTATACGTACTGTACCCGATTATTTTGGGGAGGATGTGGTCTTGCGGTTGATTGGGCGCGTATAGCTAGCCATTGGGGACAATCTTTCTACTCGTATTCGGGCTGGTACGGTGCAACATCATGGCCTTCTACTCGAGGACCATACTACACCTCGGACCATGTCAAACACCGGTGATCAAGCTAAGCTCTCAGTTGCCTGCAATACCCAGTTCCTCCCCATGCCAGTAGATTCCTATATTTACTGATAACAGAGTGACTAGATGTTATGTGGCGATATTAAATATCATGGAAGTAATATTATCACATTAAAGCAACAAATGGAGCACGGTAGGCTGTTTATCCCTCTCAATAATACGGTAGTTGAATTTGAAAGCCACGAGCTCATACCTGGCAGTATATCCATAGCACATTCCACCAGTTCGCGAAAGGGTTGCTCGCATACCGCACTGGAATCATAACTCTAATGGAGATTAACTTTTATTCAAGGAGTGCCTTAACTTATACCGGTAGTAATGATTCCCGCATCACCACCGCCGTACTAGAATATACTCACGCCTGGCAATACCGATACCGGGCTGGATGTGGCACAGTTAGAACGGCGGATGGATCGAGGAGAGCCATTGAACTCCCAGTGCTGGAATCCTGCGAGGGGCTTCTGTGAATAAGGTGCTTACTTGGGAGACAAATCTCGTTAAAGGATCTTTGGGATATGCGGCTCAGATATGTAGGGTAGAAGAAAGGTATCATACTCTACGAGTACTGGCCGTTAGTTTAAGCCTATTATCGAGGGCGAGTGCAATCTGTTGCTGCCGCAACGGTGTGGCTGCTGGAAAGGGTCACTCTCCCTGCTCGACACAGCCGCTAAACCCATTTCCATTTGGGCCCACTCCACACCCCAAAATTTCGTTCGCTGACACCTCACCAGATCAGTTTTAGCGACAAGTTCGCCTTTCTTCACTAAGCCACCCCAGAAAGCTTCCCTCTCCTTCACTTACCACTTTCTTCGTCCCGCCATAAACCGCCCACTGTCTCTCTACACAGCATATCTTCTACCGATATTTGATAATACTAACGTATTCCCCTTCCTCTCGCTAACGTACTCTCTCCTCCCCCCCCCCACCTTCCCTCCCTTTCCTCTTTGGGTGTTACTAAACCACTCCGATCCTGCCCCGAGCCTGATTAATCTATACCGACAACAAACAATAGTCTAAACAACTGCTTTCTTTCCCTTTTTTTCTTTCCATTTTACTCAACAGTATTCAGCCCCGGAAGCAGCCCCTGCTGCTGACCAAATGACGCCTCCTAGCTTCTCCTCTTCAATGCCCGGCGGCAGCTTTCTTCCTTCCATCCCGAACTCGATTCCTGCATATCCTAAGACTGTTCCAGCCCATGCATTCCGCCATCCAAATCAGTCACCCTCGCCAACCTTTGGCCCCACCAGAAAACGCCTTCAAAGGGACAGCGGTTTCAGCGCCCAAAGTCCCCCCCCCTTCGAAGATGCTGGCGATTCTGACGAGGATGTGATGCGCAACAGCCTGTACTCAGATAGCGCCTACCGATCAACTTTAGCTACCTCTAACTCCCGGAAGAGGGGCTTGGCAGATGACGATGCGGATGATTATGAACATGGGCCCGGCGCGCGTTCTGGTGACGGAGCTGGGGACAGTAATCGCCCTCCCAAGCGGAGGATTATTGACGTTGTTGGTAGCGTTGCCAGTAGGGTATGGGAGTTTTGCAAGGCCAGGGTTCCGATTTATGGGCCTACATCGAGGATGACAGCTGCGGAAGTGGATATGAATGCTGATGAGCATTTGTACGACCCTGGGATGCCCAGTTATCTCATGAATGGTGCTCAATTTGGAACTGGTTTATACGACAATCAGCACTTTATAGCCTCCTCACCTCCCCAACCTACAAATGCTGGCGCCGGTGGGATGAGTGGAGAAGAACAGAGTTATTTTTCTTCGCGGGATTTCTCTCCGAATAAACAAGTAGATGGTGGGTTAAGCTCCAGATGGGTTATGGTTTCACCTGCGCCAACAGCCTCTACAGCTCCTCAACAACATAATAATAAGCCTTCCTTTTCAGCCTCCGCTTCTTCATCACGGACAAGTACACCTACACACTCTCGCCGCCCCCAATCATCTGCCTCTTCCAAGCGCACTAACCGCCCAATTATTGCTTCCTCAGCCCGAAAGCGGCCTACGGTTGTCAGGCCTTCACACCAACGATCCCGCTCGTCGTCGACAGTCACCTCTTCAACCTTTGCGCCACCACCACCGCAATCAGCCTTCACCTTCCACAGCTCTCCTATTAGCGGCGGTGCATCGGTGGCTAATACTAGGGGAAGGCGAAAGGGGCGCATCCCTGGGCTAGCAGCAACACCATCACTTGGCGACGATGAGGAAGATGAATCCATGCGGAGATTCAACGAACGCCTCCGTGACATGATACGAGAGGGCCGGGAAGCACTAGGCAGCAAGGTGGAGGTAGTGTACGATGAAGACGACGATCTAGAGAACTTCTGAGAGCGTTCGTTTCCACATTCAATGAAAATCACTCATGTTAAAATACGGGAGGTTCTTTTTATTTTATTTCTATTTTTTCCCCCAGGGAAAACATTTCAACAAATATATGTTTCAACGATTCATGGCCGGGTGAGGATGTCCCAGACAGGGCTGGGGATCGTACGACAAATGAGCGGCAGGGTGTATTGCGAATTTCCCAGTGTGGGATCTATTCCTTTTTTTTTCTTTTCTCCTGGGTTTCATGGTCCATGGCTTCACTCTTTCCAAGTGTTTATTCTTATTCTGCTCCTGTTAACGAGTTATTGGAATATGTTTTCCTTTGCGTTTATGTGTCAGCTTTTGATCTATGATGTCAACGGGTGGTTGGTAGACTTTGTAGCTTTAATGGTTGGTATGATATGATGTTTGGACTTTCCAAGATCTATTATGGGGTTGAGTGATCAGGAGCCAATGATTGACAGCTTTTGCATGGACATAGGGGTAAGCACAATCGGACTAATTATATAGCTCCTACCGACTTTATCCTCTCAGTCATTATCCTAATATCATACTGTGCTGCCATTCCATAGCTGATATTAGTAGTCTGCATGGCTTTTGGTGCGTGCAAAGCTTGACACTATTGAATAAGGTGCACATCGGGATCGCGCATGGTGAAGCCTGAAGAAGAACAATGATTTGAAAAATCACGTGGGTCCTTATCACCCATTGAATCTTATCAAATCCTCCAGCCACAATTGCATTGCACTCCGTATTCACCCTCCAAAGGCGGGGGGGGGCGCATGACATCAGTTCCATCGCGGCCCTTACCCTGAATGATGGGAAAAACTTCTATCGTGGGACAAGCGACCCTGATCGAATACATATACCCTGCTAACCCCTCTCTCGTTTCCCATTTCTCGGGTTACTTTGAAAATCACTCCAATCATGCCTCCGCAATCGAGCAATCCTCCGTTCTCCACCACTAACTGCGAGGTTCCTGATGATGCTATCTCTCTGCGTTCCGCTGCACCTTCCTATACTTCCTCCCTCCCGCCGGCCTACAGCGACCAATTACCGTTGTCCTCGCCTCGTGTGCCCGAACAACGCCATAGCTCACTACTCACCTCTCTTCCCGAAAATTACAATGTCACCGCCTGGTCATCTCTCACTGGCTCTGGCCACCAAAATAGGGCGTATGAGAATGTAGCAGAGCGCCGAGCACGCCGGGATGCAGCGAGAATGCATGCAAACTCCCTCTTGGTCAGGGCCAACAATGCAGTACGCGCGGAAACCCAACGGGCAGAGGAAGCCCCACATTCTGTATCGTTGGCTGAGGACGGAAAGAGCTGGGACTTCCTTATCTCGCAAATGGCAAATTGGGAGTCGAGGGAGAAGAGCTGGAACAATTTTCGTGCAAGATTCTCTAAGGATCAGAGCCGTATCCCTTTTCCAAAGAAAAAGATTGGGATGAGCGGGAGGTTTGGGTGAGGGTTTATGGTACCGTTCGTTCGATCTTCAGGGGTGCAGTAGGGACCGCTTTACGTCCAGGCATCTCGCATGCTTTGTCTACAATCACTCGGCTTACTATTACTTTGGAGGGTCAGGATTTTGGCCAGCTCCTAGGACTTCGCTCATTAATCGCTGGCATTTTTGTCTACTGTTCCTAGTGTGTCTTTCCTTTTAGTAATCTATTTCACTTCCAGTTGCATCCGCAGGTCCATTTTCCTTTCTATTCCTCTTATGTGGGTTTACCTGTTTAGCTTGCGGAACACATGAAATATCAACTTGTGATATTTATCATTACCTGCGTTTGTAAGTTATACCACCCCCTACGTCAACTTCCGGGACAAGCGTTGTTCGCGGCCCGCGCTGGTCTACCATATTCGCCTCCTAGAACTCTGAAGTGTTACTATAGATCATAGAGCCATGCTGTACCCTAGAATGTGGCACGGTACAGTGCCGAATTTGCCGATTGGGCGGGACATAGGGCCCACTTTCCACCCCGGGGTCTGTCCGCGCCTGGGAAGAGGATAAAAATGGGAACAGAAATAAACGTCCCTCGGGCTTTCGGGGCATCTAGGACCGGCATACTACAAGGTCGCTCTAATCACGCGAGTCGCTGATTGCTCTTGCTGAGCCTTCTTTTGCCCCCCCAAGACATTCAAACTCCGGAGCTGACCGAGGTTCAATGGGCTTCAAGTGATAACTGGTAGCTCCTTTGATACCAGGTACTTGGTTCCGTATCATAACCGGTTAACCATGTACTCGTACGATGGTTTGGGTCCATCGATAGCGAACAGCCATCTGAAGATAACCTGTTTTTTCTTTTTCTATGTTTAGCCATGTCTAACATTCTCATTTGAGAAACACGCCTGAGGCAAGGCGGGATTGAATATAAGCTTGATTCCATGCTGTGCCTTCGATATCCTGCCTTTGCTCCTAGTCTATCGGTTGGGCAGAGCCACGGTGCAGAGTAGCTTAAGCGCCAACACCAGTTTAAAGTACCATGCATTACTTCCCAGAGATTTAGCAGATACTGGTACAGTACTTGTAAACCAAGACCCAAAAGGCCAAGGCAACCACCGCCAGGCTCCCCCACCCGACTACTGGAGCTCATGCGCCAACCGTCAGACCATTCTACACGTACAAGCTCAGGCCAGTGTTGGAGAGTGTGCACCGGTGCGGGGCAACCAACAGCACAAATTTAGGACTCTGCGTACTGCTCAGATAAATAGTCTGTTCCCGGTGACAAGATTTCACAGACTGATTGGTCGAGATCTGTATGTGGTGCCTATTCTCCTGTGAGGGACCAGTACTAGACCCCCGGTGCCAGAATCCCACGATGCTGGAACAGAGCATATCATACTTGTACTTGTGCTGAAATTTTGTAGCCGTCCCCCCGATCCAATCATAAAATGATGCTATCGCCAATCAATTCTCAGACTTCGGGGCTCGGAAACGAGATCCAACCCCACCCTCGGGCCGTGGCCCCATACAAACCAAGCAGATGAAAGGACTTCTGTGGGCCCGAATTCTGATACAAGTGTCCGAATTTCGTGGAGCTGACTAGAGGCAATCACTGCTATAGCATATTTTGCATAATGGGCGTGAGAGAAGCAGTTAAGGGTTATGGACTCGAGGTTTTATCCTAGTGGAGCAAAGTTCGCTATTGAAAATGATGTTGTATCTTGTTTATAGTACGGTACATATAAGACATGAACTTGTATTTCGTCAGCAAGTGGAGGAATTCAGTACATAAGCTAACCCGCCCAGAAGATTAATAATATTGAAAAAGAATCAGTCCTATTAGGAGTGGAGAAGAGACACTTCCGGTTTCAGTCCTTCAGATAATACCACCCTTCCAATGCCTACTCCTACTGAAGACCCCATTCATTCTTCCAGTGACAAAGGTTCCTCTAATACTGTACCAGCGAGCTTCCAGGCAATATTTCTCTCTCCCTCCTTCTAGTTCCCGCTGATTGATGATGAGTCATCAGTTATCACACTGCTCACTTATTCAACAACCACCAGAAGCTACGGCACAGCAGCCGTTTTCCATTACCGATGAGGTAACGACGAGGTATTTGAACTACGGTAGGAGAAGTAGGAGGAGCCGAACCCCAGATCCCCCGACTAGACCACTGACAAGGTGAGCCTCCCCTTGGGAGTGAGGGGAGGTGATTGGAATCGTAGGCCAGAAGTTTAATATCCCAAGATTCCGATATTTTTTCGATATGATACGCTATTTTCAGAAGTGGTAGTACGGTAGTGTGTGGGCAAGGGTGTGTGAGAACTAGTGATTAGTGCAAGGAGAAGTGTTTGGAAGGTTTTAGGAATTAGTACTAGGGATACCGGAAGTATGATAACAGGTTATGCTCCGGAGGTCTAGAAGACAATCAGGTGTCGCACTATAAGGGTTAGGAAACCAGAGCAGAAGCACAAAGGTATCAGGACTGTCCAGAACAGCCATAGCTTAGGGGAAATCCTTGGGGGATGTTCGAAGGAGTTGAGTAAAAGGAATGGCGTGGCATCATGACAAAAATGTGGTATGGAATTCTGTGAGGTTGATGGATGAGGAAGATTTTTGCAAAGGAACAGCTTGTGTATATATAGGACACCTCCAGCAGCATAGAAAGAACAAGAATCACAGACACTCTCTACCTATCATAGCCTTATTATTTGAATAACCTCATGCGAAATATCGGTGATGAGAGGGGGTAGGACCGGTTGTGGGCAACCCAGGGTTCGGGTACTCCAACTGGAAGTCGTCAAGCACTCCGTACAGTACATTGACCGGTTTATACGATTTTCATGGCTGTCTCCGACTTTCGGGTCAGGTGCAACGAGTGCTATGGTTGGGGTTTTAGTCAAGGCGTGAGGCTTTGCTCACAGCAGGATACCCCAGTACAGTATTAAATTTTTGTGGATTTAAACCAGGGAGATTATCATGTCTTAGCTATCACTTGTTGTGTTGTAAAGGGGGTCGAGAGGAGATTTCACGAGAATTATGATAGAGTAACCGCTTTCATTAAATTTTGTTTGTAAAATTTCGGGAGTGATTCGTTTTTCGGGTGATCAAGCATGACCGTGTGTTCTGCCAATCTTGCTGTCTTGGCAGCCTATGCGGCTCAGCGAACCAAGGGGAAATCGACGACCTCGCCAACGAGGTGCTCCACGGACAGTTCTCCACAACCCCGAGTAAAGCAAGCATCTTCCACATCTATCTCCTTTAAGCAGACTTACCCAATATTAAACCTCACCGCTGATACAATGGCCGAACTCCTTAACAAGCCCCGCTCAGAGCTCACGTTTGTTGCCTTCCCCTCCCTTGATCATCTTTATCTCACTAACTTCCGCAGCGAGTATGAAATAGCCGAACTAGAAAAATACGAATTCTCCGCTGGCCCCCTATCGATTTTGCAAACCGCCGTTCGCTCTCACAATCAAGTCCTTATTTCCTGCCGCAATAACCGCAAGCTCCTCGCGCGTGTAAAGGCGTTCGATAGGCATTGCAACATGGTTCTTGAGAATGTTAAGGAGATGTGGACCGAGACTCCGCGAAAGGCTGACGGGAAGAAGGGAAGGCCTGTCAATAAGGATAGGTTCATCAGCAAGATGTGAGATCCATCCACACGTTCGTAATACCTGGGAGGCTAATGTGGAGATAGGTTTTTGAGGGGTGATTCGGTCATCTTGGTGCTGTTGAGTTAGGCGGGTTAGGGTCAGATGGCTGTGATGGAAGTGTAGCAGTATCATATATTAAAAGTGCGATGAATTGATGGATTAAGGAGGGAGGTAGATTTGATGAACGCTAATGTGCGTCAATGAGAATACATTTTTTGCTCGTAATAGTATCATCGAGATGGTTTGCTTAAATTAGGGGTTTTTCTAAATTTCACTCGAGTGGTGTGTGAGCCATTAGAACTCCATCCCAAACACCGTGAAACACTGCTAGAAAACAGGAGACCTCAGGATGAGTGTCGCAGGGTTAGGGTTTTTATATTAGCTTGTTTCCTGCCGCTTCGCAGATTGAGGCACAACCCCTGCCAAATGATCGGATCCATCTATTTTACTAACATCCTTTCCGCAAATATCTCGACTCCTTTTACGCAATGGACGACCTCACAGGACTCGCATGGAATTCTTCTTTCTCTTCGTCTAAACCACCACCTCCACTAAAGCCAAAATCTCCAACTCCGCTCAATCTACGACCGCCTCCCCTATCTTCACGTACAGCTTCTCCCGCAAATGCCAGTACAAAACCTCCACCGGCAGGCGATAGCTTTAGCAATCTTGTCTCCTTTGGCCGGAGTAAAGCAAATGACAGCTGCGTGACACTGCAGGAACGGCAGAAGCAACTGCAGGAGCAGAAGGCTAAGGAGGAGGAGGAACGGCGGAAGAAGATGGACGCCTTGTTTGGCGGCGGTCGAGGAGGTGCAAATGCTGGGTTTTGGGACTCCCTGGAGGCGGGGAGGGTGTCTCCGGTGCCAGTGAGCAAGTTGGATGACGATGATGAGGACCTTCTAGCGGCTTTCAGCGCCGCTGCTCCGGTTGATAATAGTTCCTATTACCCACCACCAATCGGGAGTGGAGTTGCGACGCCGCTACACTCAGTGGATTCTACGCCTGTCGTTCTGGTTGATTCCACAAACACTGGAATGGGTTTGAGCAATAATGTAATGGATCCATTTGATCTTGATAATTTGCCTTCTAGGCATCCTTCTCCGTTCAAACCGCAGCACAGCTCTCCCAACGCATTCGACGATGACGATATTCTCGGGGATCTAGGGAAGCCGGTCGAAGCACTACCACCCCAACCCTCGCCGGGGGCAGAAGAACCCCCTTTTCAGCTGCCGGGGAACGATCCACGAGACCCCGCAATCGCAGAAATTGTGGACATGGGATTTACGGTTGAGCAGGCTAAGAAAGCACTCGCAGAAACGGATACTGGTCTCGATGTTACGGCTGCAGTGGGTTGGTTGTTGGAAGATGCGCATGGGAAAAGTAGGCCTGCATCTACGAATCCGTCTGGGTCTAGGAGTGGTTCGCAGTCCGGGCAGGAGAGAAGTGCAGACCACCCAAGGAGACGGAGGGAGGATAATGGGCAACCGGCATGGATGAGAGATGGAAGTGGTGGAACGCAGGAGAAGGATATCGGGCAGATGGCTTCACAGATTGGTGGAACGCTATTCAAATCCGCTAATAGTCTCTGGAATACTGGAAGGAAGAGGGTCGGGAAGGCAATCGCGGAGCTTCAGGATGGGAACACAAGTGATGGGGGAGACCCAAATATCCCGAAGTGGATGAGAGGTGCGCATCAACATCAATTGGAGGTTAGTGAGAAGCGAGATGGGGGCAACTTTTCTGAGGAAGATATGAGACCTGCAAGGCCGGCGCGGAAAGAGAAAGCCCCTGAGCCATTACTGACTGAGGAAGCCCTCATGCTCGAAGCTGGTAGTGGACCCCCACCAAGGAGAAGGCAAGGAAAGGAGGGGCCTTCCAGAACTCTGTCTGAGAAGGAGCAAATTCAACTGCAAAGACAGCAAGCCTTTGAAGCCGCAATTCGACAGAAGGAGCAGGAGATGCGAGAGAGGGAACGGCCTCGCCAAACTCCATCACCGGCAGCTTCTATCCCCAACAGCAGCGACAGGAGGGCGAAGTTGACTCGAGGAGCAGTAGAAGAAGATAGTGCAGTTCAATATGTTTCGAAGAACCGGCGGAGACCACCACCACCTGCATCTTCCTCTATTAGGTTAGGTTCGAATCCTGCAACACCTGAGCCGCCAACAGGAGACCTTCTGTTCGGCGGCTCTGGCGCACCTAGAGAACCGTCTCGAAATCCCTTCCTCCAACAACAGCAACAGCGGCAACGGCAGACTCCCTCGCCCGCTCCCCGGCGCCCAACCCCCAGCACAACAGCACCAATCGTCCCTCGTCCAACCGCCAATCGCCCACAGGTGCCGATATCACAACAGGCTCTCCAGACATCCTCTGTCTCTCGCCAAAAGGGCACCGAATCTTTTAGGCGTGGAGACTACCCCACTGCCTTAGCCCACTACACCTCCGCATTGAATCCAATACCCCCCCAGCACCCAATCCGCATAATCATCCTCTCAAATCGCGCCCTCTGCAACCTCAAAATCGGCGACAGCCGAGCGGTACTAGCAGACTGCGACGAAGCACTCGAAATCATTGGACCCAGCAATGGCGAAAGCGAGACCATCACTTTGGAAGACGGGACGAAGAAGGACATGAAAGAGCTGTTTGGAAAGGCACTCGCCAGGAAAGCCGAGGGGTACGAGCACATGGAGAAGTGGGCCGAAGCTCTAAAAATCTGGACACAAGCTGTAGAAGCCAGCGCTGGCGGAGCAATCGCGATATCTGGAAAACGCCGCTGCTCAACCGCCCTCCAACCCAAACCCGCGCCGAAGCCAAAGCCTGTTGCCGCTGCTCTGCCCACCGCCCGACGCGCTCCGCGCTCATCACAGTCCACCGGTAGCGGTAGCGGAGAAGCAGCGCGCGTAACCGCCCTCCGCCAAGCAAACGCTGCAGCAGACAGAGTTGAAGAGGAAAAGCTAGCTCTCCACGACAAAGTCGAGGACCGCGTGAACGCCTGGAAATCTGGCAAGGAGGGTAACTTGCGCGCCTTGCTGGCAAGCCTTGACACCGTGCTTTGGGAAGGGAATGGGTGGAAGAAGGTTAGCATGGGGGAACTGTTGATGCCAAATAAGTGTAAGATTGCGTACATGAAGGGGATTGGAAAGGTTCACCCTGATAAGGTAGTATTTCATCGCCCTCACTGATAATATATGAATGGATGAATTGGGAGGCTAAGAATGGGGCAGATTTCACTGGATGCGACGACGGAGCAAAAGATGATTTCTGCAGCGGTTTTCACGTTGTTGAATGAGGCTTGGGACAAGTTCAAGGCGGAGAATGGGTTGTAGGGGGTGGTGTGGATTATAGAAGTTATAGATTTGTTTTAGCGTTGGATTAGCTGGTTAGTTGGTGAAGGGACCGGCTGGATTGGGTGGTTACCGTAATCGAATCGAGCCCATGATGCCTTGTATGTAGAGGTGCAACTGCGGCAGTTTTTTCTGTAACCAGTGATAAAGCTCTAGTATTTCATGTATCGCAAAGAAACAAGGAAGGTGCCATAGAACGAACACCAAAGATGGTTCATATATATACACCTCCCCCTGCTAAAAAGAAACCAGTAGATCTGTGAAAGAATGCTAAAGCATAAACCTCCACCCTCTGCCCACCCTCCCCTCCTTAGCCTCCTTCCTATCCCTCTCTCTATTCGCCCTATTGAGTCTCCACCTCTGCACCCCAACGAGCAGCACAACGGCCGCCATCGCAGCACCACACACCGCCATTCCGCGAACATAATACGGCCCCTCATCCTCCGGATACAACCTAGTCCCCAGCAACGGCCCACACTGACCAACAACCTGTAATATCGCCATTCCCGTGCCGCGGCCACTCTCACTCTCGCTATTATTCACGTTCCATACCATTACCAGGGCGATCGCCGAGAATACGCCACCGGCAGCGAGGAAGATGGAGACATAGTTAACCGCGAGGGCGCCCGCCGCGTTCTCCCGTAGCCAGGTGGATGCGGCACCGGAGGATATCCAGTCGTTGAGTGAATTTGTGGGCGTCTCAGAGTCGAGGTTTGTGATTGTTGAGACTAGCGAGGATTGGATGTGGGAGGTTGCGGCTAGGGTGAGGTACCCGAGGGAGGCTATTAGGCTGAGGATTAGGATTGGGTAGGAGCGGCTGCGGAGGCGGTCAGAGAGATAGGTTGAGAGGAGGACTAGGAAGAAGGCGAAGAGATAGGGGGGTGCGGAGAGTGCTTGGGCGTGGATGGAGGTGTAGCCCATGCTGGATTCGTAAGTTAGCCTAGTCTTGGAGCGCGAGAGGGGAGCGGGACTTACTCTTTAAGTATAGTCGGTAGAAACACAGGCAGGGATGAGAACGAGACGTTACAAAAGAAATACATAAACTATCACTCGTTTTTATTAGCTTCCATCAGCCCCGAGGTCCCAACGACACCCACCGCAGTGACCCAATTCCCCACATCCTTTATCGCATTCCAAACCTGTCCCCATCGTACACCACGGCCTTCCTCCTCGCCCATAATAACTTCCTCCTCATCTCCATCACCATCCCTAACAACCAGCAATCGCCGCCTGGCGATCTTCTTTTGCTCAAGCGTCAAGAACCCAGCGTCAGCCGGGGAGTCTGGAATGTGATAATACGAGATTACAGCCATGACTATTGATGGGAAACCCTCGAGTATAAAGAGCAGTCGCCAGGGGGCGATAGGAGAGGGTATGGACGTAATCCAGTATGCTAAGAACCCTCCGTACGCGGTTGCTAATGGAGCTGCGGAAATGAAGAGGCCTGTACGGAGGGCTAACTCCTACCTTGCCGTTAGTATGCAATCTCTTGGCGCAATGGGCGGGAAAAGCTACCTCACGGCGGTAGAAAAACGATAGATAAAATGGTACACCTGGAAGATTAGAGGAGTGATCCACGGTGATTTGTGCGGGCACATACCTGGCCCAAAAGCAGCTTCTGTGATGCCCAGTAAGGCACGTAGAACAAGCATGGTGCCCCAACCGACTGCCAACCCTTCTATGTCGCTACAACATTAGAGGCGAGGTTTGGTAGTTGAGCCGAGTGGTAACTTACGCATGCAAGCCACGAAGCCCCAGCTGTTGCTTGTTAGCAATAGTTGATAGTTAGGAATTGGGCGGGGGCAGGGTACCCGGCGACGCAGGTGGCAATGTATTTGTGCGCTGGGAAGACTTTCCAGCAGAGTGTCATCCACTCGAATGACTACCATCCGTTAGTCTAGTTTCAGGGTGTCTGGTGGCACGCAGAGAACGAACAATGTAGGTGATGTAAAAGGCCGTAAGCAGCCACTCGTAGTTGCCACCTTCAAGATTCAAATCCTCTGTCATCCCGGCGATCCGTGCCTAATCCCATCAGCATACTCGGTTCGCTCAATCTCTCCCTCTCACGGTCGTACCTCCGGGGAGGACAATCCTGGAGGAGCAGGAGCAACTCACATTCCCAATGTCTAACCGATCAAGAAAATCAGCGGAATTCCGACCTAACCGGGAAAGAAGAGAACATACTACTTCGATCCAAAAAACTCAACATATACAAGACGGCTAGAAACAGCACAAGGTACCAATCCAACCGGCGAACAACAGCTCTCTCCTGCGCAGCGCTGTAGAAGAACTCCTTCTTCCCCCGTCTTCTCTCCCGCCTCTGTATTTCCATAGAGTTTTCCTCCCCTCCCTCTCCCTCACTCTCCTGGAAAGTCTCATACAACACGTCCTCAGGTTCTATGAGCCCACCCCGCCATTTAGACCCCCGGTCGGGGATCAACGCCCCGCGCTCGCTGTCTTCATTGTCGCCATCTTCTTCTTCGTCGGCCGCGGTGGGAGCCCGAGATAGGGTGCGGAGCTCGTAACCTTCGTCGGTGACACTCGAGAATTGGTGGTTCGAGGAGGTGGGTGACGGTGGGAAACTGGTAGTGCCAGTGCTGGCTGAGGTGAGTGTTAGGTTGAATGGGGTGGCCATTTAAGTTGACTTTAGAAAGGGTGAGGCGGAGGACATTTACAAGGGGAAAGTGATTTGTTTCGGGGCTTAGGTAGCGTGGGGAACAACAAGCTCTTGATGGATGATTTGGGTGGATTGGATTGGATATGATGTGTCGAACGTGATGTTGCTGGGGAGTCCGGGGCTTGGCGTGGGGGGGAGCTTTACCACATTCCACGTGACCAGAGGGCGAGTTTATTTTTGGGTAAACGTTCAATATCATGAAAACAGTTGAGACCTTTCCATATACATGTTCCATGTTCCCGGCATGAAGAAACTGAACACAGGGATGTCTTCAGGGGCCCAACCCATGCTGCCGAGTACAGTCGTGTCCGTTTAATAATTATACCCCTGCACGGCAACCACGCGACACCATCACCCCCTCATCCCACCGGCAACTATGGCTCCCCCTCACTCTACCTGAGCAAAAGAAGATCAGAATAAGGAAATTTATGCCCTGTATAAGCATACAGATATGGGGAATAATAAAATAGCAAAGGCTATTGGGGTCTGCAAGGCTACTGTTCAAAAGGTTGTCACTAGAGCCAAGACAAGAGGTGGAGATACCCACTATGCTTCCAAGCAAGGCCAACCCACCAAGATTACAGATGCCAAAAGAAGAGCAGTAGAGGCTATTATCGATGCTGAGCCTCATTTAGTGCTACGTGAAATTACCCAAAAGGCAAATATTGGTCTTGGCAAGACCACTATTGACAAGATCATTTCAGAAGCTGGTTTTAAGCTTCTGATACCAAGGAAACAGCCTTTTTGGAGGAAAGAACAGAAGGAGAAGAGAAAGGAGTTTGCTAGGAGAAGGAGGAACTAGAGAGGGGCATGGAATTGAGGGGTTTTTATTGATGAAACCACTGTCATCTATGATCCAAATCCTGTTAGGAGAAGAGTCAGGATAAGAGCTGGTAAAGAGCTGGAAGAGGAAAAATTGAAGTCTAGCTTTAAGTCAGGAAGGACTAGCATTGGTGTCTATGCTGCAATAATGAAGGGTGGGGGGGCTGAGTTAATTCTTGTGAGAAAGAGGAGGGAGGAGGAAAGAACTAGTAAAAGAGACAGACTTGGCCTCAATTTCTACCAATATGCAACTGAGATCCACCAGCCATACCTTATTCCTTTTATAGAAGGTTTAGATAGACCTTCTGACAACATCTACCTAGTGGCAAGCAATGCTTCCTGGCATGGTGGTGAGGAAAATTGAAAATTTCAGGCAGATTGTGGTTATAAAAAACTCTCTTGGCTACCCAACTCTCCAGATCTCAATCCTATTGAGAACATCTGAGCATTACTCAAAAGAGCCATCGGAAAGTAATTCTCCAGATTGGAAAGAAGGCTCCATAGTGCTGCTAAATTATTTCAGGTAGCAAAGAAGGAGTAGGATTTGATTCCCTAAGGGATATTGGATGCTTGGATAGCAAAAATACCTGAGAGAATTCAGGCAGTTTTGGATGCAGATAGAGGTCATACAAAATGGTAATTAGATTTCTTTGAAGCCTAGGTCATGTACTTTCATCTATTCCTTAGTTGGCTTTATATCTTGATTTTTTGTATGATTGAATTCATTAAGTGTTGTGATTGTGGTTGCTGGGCAGGGATATAATTATTAAATAGACATGACTGTACAGTTATGTCTGAAAAGTCTACATACTCCTGCTTGACAATATCGCAACCAATGATCACCTTAATATCACCCTCTACCATAGCACTACCACACTTCCAAACCCTCAGAGAAGACCAGAGAAGGGAAATCTATGCCCTCTATAAACATACTGATATTGGGTATGCTAAAATTTCAAAGCTTATGAAACACTCCAAGTCGACTGTTTTAACAGTGGTCAAAAATGCGATATCCAGAGATGGAAACACCCATGATGCCCCCAGATCTGGCAGACTAACTAAGATTACTAATGCTAAAAGGTAAGTAATTTTTGATATTATTAATACTGAGACTTATTTAGCCGTAAGAAATATTATTCAAAAAGCCAATATTAGACATAGCAAAGATACAGTTAGTAAGATATTCAAAGAAGCAGGATTTGAGCTCAGGATACCTAGGAAAAAGCCTTTCTGGAGAAAAGGACAGAAGGAGAAGAGAAAGGAGTTTGCTAGAGTGAGGAGGAACTGGAAAAGAGCTTGGAAATGGGTGGTTTTTATGGATAAAGCCACAATTGAATATGATTCAAATCCAGTGGGAAGAAAGGTCATACTTAGACCAGGTGAAGAGTTGGAAGAAAAGAACTTAAAGTATAGCTTTAAGTCAAGACATAGCAACATAGGTATATATGTTGCAATAATGTAGAGAGGGAGGACAGAGCTTATTCTTGGAAGGAAGAAGATTGAGGAGGAAAGGATTAGCAAAAGAGACAAACTTGGTCTTGATTTCCACTAATATGTAACTGAGATTCACCAACCCTACCTCATCCCCTTCATAGAAGCTATAGACAGAGCTCCTCAAACTATCTATATGGCTGCTGATAATGCATCATAGCATGATGGAGTAGAAAATAAAAAATTGCAAGAGGACGGTGGATATCAAAGATTAGCTTAGTCTTCCAACTTAACCGATCTTAATCCTATTGAGAATGCCTAGGCAATTCTCAAAAGAGCTCTCAGAAAGAGATTCTCCAAGGTTGAGAGAAGGCTACATAGGGCTGCTGAATTATTTCAGGTAGCAAAGAAAGAGTGGGACCTCATTCTCTATGAGATATTTGATAGATGAATTCAGAGAATACCTGGGAGACTTCAGGCCATATTATATGCAGATAGAAGCTATACAAAATGGTAGTATTTGGAAACTGTTTTTTTCTATTTCTACTATTATCTATTTTAAAATTATACTCATATCTTTTTTTTGATATGCTCAATATTATTATTTGTAGTGGTAGTGCAGTTACTAAGAGGGATATGTAGACTTTTCAGACACGACTGTATATGAAATCAGCCACAAATATACCTTAAATAGTGTAGAAAAAAGAAAGAGATAGGGGTAGATATAGCATAAAAGTAAACATATACCTGTGCTTGGGAATAAGATATCCTGATATCTGTCAATTCTCAAATTATGAATGTGAAAATCAGCCTAAAAAAAAAAAAAAAAAAAAAACCAAAGGTTTGTATATGACTTTAAAATATTAGAATCATAAGTACTCACTTACTATGTATATAAAAATAATGCAAAATTAAAAATACGAGCATGTATCTTATAAACAACAATGCACAGTTCAAACTCTATAGTTTGTAGCAGGATGGATCTACTGGCAGATCGCAGAAAGCAAGTAATTAAGCCTTGAGACAGTATTTAATATTTACCAATACCTGTCAACACCCACAAAGCCTAAAGGGAGACTGTTTTCCTTCAACACACTGACCAGATGGCTGCTGGTTGCTATTGCAACTATGAATGCAGCTTATTGGAAACTGATACTAATGGAAATTGTGACATAGTGTGGAGTTCAAGCCTATGTTACAAACCGGATTGTGAAAAGGCAGATTGATGAGAAGGAATAAAGGGTTTCACATGACTTGCGCTTGCAAGTTATAGGGGTTTATTATTATGCAATAACTCATAGTTGTGAGTTATATAATATTATAACTTTTGAATGTAATACATACTTATGAGTTATGAGTTTCACGGATGTAATACATTTAGTACACATGAATTGTTATAAGGATTCTGATTGGTTTAGGTATGTTAAGCTGTTGACTCATACAAGTCAACTAAGGATCTTACATGACTCATGATTATGAGTCATAGAATATGGTGATTCGAAGGTATAAGTCACTCAGGGTTAGGGTTGGGAGAGGTGTCTGTATAAATAGTGAGGTTTAGGGACCTATGGTACACATGCTCCGCGCCCTCTTCTTTCCCCCCCCAATGTTTTACTTCTGCTCTAAACACCATCTGCATCTGGTGAACAAGCTCCTTACACTTTCACGATCCTCCTAGCCTATAATCAGGGATTATCTCTCCTTGCTGGACCATGGACCCCTCCGCACAATGACGTTCAGGCACTCCTGTGTCCAATCAGGGCGCTGCCTCCCACCCTCCTACGCAACCATCGTTGGCTGCCCCAATCCTCCCTATTCATGAAAACCTAGCCAGGCTGATCCCCTCTGCGAGAGTCCTGCTAGACTGGCCCCCTGAAAGCTTGCCCCCGATCTCCCGTCAAGAGGTGCTGGAACTCTCTACCAGAGAGTGCTACTTGCTTCCCCTCGTCTCCGATCTCGTGCACGGCATGTCCGCCCTCTCCCCAACAGTCGAGGAACTCAATACGAGAATTCACGACTTGTCTTCCCAGATTGCCAACACACTCCCAGCCAACGACACCCCGGTCAACACCACCAACATTTCGGCGAACTCCGTGGCCTCCCTCCAAGCATCTATCAGGGATCTGTCCACTAGGTTGGTGGCAAACCCCGCTCCCCTACCCCAACCGCCTGTGTTGGTCCCCACTGCCCCGCTTCCTAGGCCTTCCTGAAAGGGTAAATAGCCAGCCACCAACACCCCTGCCCCCACCCTCCTTGAGGTATTACCCTCAGGATACTCAGCTTTCTATGATCCGGACATCCCCAGCTACGACACAGCAATAGGCAAGTACCGGGGCAATCCTGCTGCCTACGCGGCTAAATATCCCAGGACATAGGAAGCACAGCAATGGAGAGATGGAAAATACCCAGACCCAGGTGAGTTCCTCCCAGGAATTCCCAACCCAGACGACCACCCCCCTGGCAAAACCAGAACGTCCTATTCTGAGGCCACGTCCTCAGGGCCCTCAAGGTCCAAAAAGAAACAAGGTGGCTCCGCCCCCTCAGCAGCACAAGTCGCGAAAAAGGTTCCCAGGTCGGCTAGTCCTCCCTCCCCTTGGCCACTGCCAGCTGCTGAGAGAAGGTTCTTTGCACCTCGTTCCCTCACTGCTCAACGCACTCTGAGTAGAGAAATTGCGGCTTCTTTTCCTGACACGGTGGCAACGGCCTTTAAAGAGGCCAATTGCCCCCTCCCACAAGCTTTTACAGCCAAAGTCAATGACCGAGGCACAGTAACCCTGTTTGCCCTTGATCCTCATACACCGGT